GATCCCCTGCCAATGTAAGTCCCATTCTTCTAACAATTTCCAAGTCACTCATGGGGTTACCCCAGACAGCACAGCCCACGAGGCTCTCTCCTTCCTGTGACTTCACTGTCTTTATCACTCATGTGGCATCAGCTCTGTGTTAACCTGTTTCCAAGTGGTGATTGTTTTTCTCTGTATAAATCTGCTTAGATTGTTGGCGTAGATGCTTAATAATTGAATATGACAACTGAGCACGCTCTTCATGATTTTCAGCATCTTGATTCCATTCCTATTAGCTTCAGCCTCACAGACTACAGAATCTTGAAGCTTTTACTCTGCTTCCGAATGAAGCAGGACTTCTCCACAACCACATTCTTAAGGAAGTGCGGCCAAATGGTGTATGGTAGTTTCGGGGCATTTTATGTGATGGTAAAAGAGGCTGTGGTCCTTCCATCAAAGGTTTCCCAGTCGGAAAGACCTCCATGTGGATCCTGGCGGTGCCAATTAATGGCTTGTGAGCCTCACTTTCCTCATATGTCAAATAGTAATCACTCATTTCACAGGTTGTTGAGGACTAGATATGCCGACCTAAGTAAAGTCTGGCACAGTGCCTGGCACGCAGTAGGTACCCGATAAATGTCAGCTGCTTTTCAAAGATGACTCCAAATAAGAGGTTTGATGAAGTCTGGTTGGGATCACAGATGTTGGACTAAAATTCTCAGAAAACAGAAAGGAAGGCAGAGACAGCACAGATCTCCTTTCAGCAGTGAGTGGCTCCTGCCAGGAAGCACATCATTCGCCAAAGGCCTTCAAAGATGTAAAGATTAGAGATAAAAGCCATGAAATCAGGGCAGATAGACAGGCGGGCAGCTTCCTTTCCAAAATGCAGTGATGGTCAGAGCTGGCACTGGAACTGCACCGTGACTTACGACATAGCTGCAGGTTCTGTGCACCAGTACATAAATAATCCAGACTGGGTTACTTATCAATATTAGGAATATTAAATATATGATCAGGGACAGTGTGATATGATGTCGTCACTCTGAAAAATTTCTAACCTCCTCCCAAAATGAGTAACATAGGCTTGAGCCTAGCAGATCAGAGAGTTGCAAGCCTGGTCAGGGTCACCCAGAGCCACAGACTGCCCTCCCCCCACCCACCCGACGACAAGACAGAGCTGGACAGACGGCCTGAGGAAGAATGGGCCTTTCATTTGCCCTCACGATCTGGGAAACCTTTGGGAATTGTTGTTTGCTGTAACTGAATCTTTCAGCCCAAAGGCCTTCCAAGTTGGTCATGGAAATATCTTTAGTTGGAAGAAAAATATTGATGGTTGTGAAAGAAAAGTAGAGAGCTAAACAAATAAATTACCAAATAAACACAGCCATTGGTAGAAGAGAAATAATTCTTAAAACCCAAAGGAAAAGTTTACAGTGTAATGCCTTCTGTAGTTTATGGACATGAAAGCTAACTATATATATCAGGGAAATATTGGCTTAAATGGGGAACCAGAAGACTGTGATGGGAAAGGATAGGAATATATAAATAAGAAATGAAACCACGTATTGTTATTACCTAAGCAACTCGTGCAGTTTTTAAAGATCCATCAAGGATATCAATAGGTATCTCTAGGGGTGACAGGCGGGGAGGAAGTCCTTCAAAAAATGTCATTGGCAGGCCTGGAAAGAAACTGACATCAGGACTGATGTCTAAGAAAAACAACCATTAGAGGAAAAGGGGCATGCTATGCACTAGTGTAGAAATGGGAGAACATGCAAGGAACTCATGTAGAGAAGCTAGTCTAGTAGGCAGGTGGCAGGCAGAGAGGCTGAGCATAACAAACAGGACCAGATGGAAAGGACAGATATAGGGCAAGAAGGAAGGTCATGAAAAGAAGGTCGCTACCAAGTGAAAAGGAGGTTCGGGTAACCCTCATGAGAGTAAGGCAAGGGGAAGCAGAGGAAAGCATTTCTTTCCCAGTGGTTCCGTTTCTGTTCTGTTAGCTGCTTCCGGGACATTTAATCTTCCTGTTCCGTGTTTTCTATGCCCATGGCTTTTGGGTGCATTTAAGGGATTTATGGATAAAACTACGTATTACAGCCGGCAAGTGCTGACTATTCTCATGAAGCCAATAGCAGCCTCAGAGGTGCCTTGGTGTAACAGGCACTTCTGAGCATCCAAGGTTTTCTTTGCACTTGCTAGACAATCTCAAGCCTCACCCGGAAAAACTAATCTGGAATAACTTTCACAGCAATGACTCTGCTGGGTAGGACAGTGTCACTGTGTCCTTTGCCTGATTATGCAGACCACCAGGGAACTCCGCTCGCCGCCATCCCATAAACCAGATGTTAAAAATGAATTCATTTTTACTTTACTAGTAAATGTATTTCAAAACATATTTTGGAGATAAACCATTTCACGACTTCCTCTTGGAGCTATTGGAATGCTCGGGAACATTAATGAAATCGGGGTTTTGTGCTTCCGGGTTCAGAACCACTGTGGTTTATTTTCCTGCAGACTGAGCCCCCATTGGGGGGCAGGGGGAGAGGGTGGGTGAGCCAGCTGACGTCAAGGCCCGCTGACCTGACCAAGAGGGCTTTAACTTGAATGGCAGGAGAGAAAAGGGTTCAACTAAAGCTTGTGGGACATGTATGTGCTCGGAAGGACATCCGGTCTGACGTACAGAGCAGGGCAAGAGGTGCCTAGTACATTTCCAGGAGAAATCGCTGGGAAGAAGAGTGGGAACAACAATCAAGGCCTCCAAAGCCTACGTACCAGTGGACGGGGTGTGGGCAACAGGTGAGGTGCTGATGGAAAGCTCGGGGAAAAGTCAGCAAGCTGTCCGCGGTTATAACGGTCAGGGGTGGACATGACTAGGAGGCCGAATCGGGAACTGCCCGGAGCTAGGAGCGGAGATTTCTATTTCTGATACTAATTTCAAAGTTTTTATTGTAGGAAATCTCAAATAGGCACAAAAGGAGAGGGACTAGGACAAGGGAGACCCCCACCCCCGCGTGCCCACCGTGCAGCCCCTGTCTCTTCTTTCTGAACAGGGTTAGACTGAGCCAAAGAAGCTCCCAAAGATGTTCTGATTTTTCAGCTCTTAGCACAGCCTGCAGAGCACCATTTAGAAAACAAACACTAAAACTTTCTAAGAGCACATAAAGGGCAGAGTTAGATTTCCTTTAGGCAGTGAGACGCCCAAAGACAGCGGATTGGAAAGTGGCAATAAATGGACAGTTGTAGGGTTTGACTGTCACGTAGGAAGAAATCTATCTCAAAAAGCTTCATTTTGGTCAATTATTTATCCTGCCTTTTCTCTCTGGACTGTATTTAGCCTAAGCAAATTATTAACGAGGACAAGTTCTTTATAAAAGAATTCCAACTAAGAAAGGCAGAGGGAATGATAGTATTAGAGAAATCACCATTTTGTTAACTCTTAGGGAAATAATAATCTATACAAAATCATCAGTGTTTACTAAAACCATTAGGTGACAGGTGATGGGGACTACAGAATAGAGAAATTCCACCATCGCAGGAGGTGGCATCCGGAAGGGCAGCCGCTCAGGCACTCTACCCTCCAGCTGCTTCCTTCTTTCTCCAAAGATGAACCCCCTGCAGCATTCTGCCAGCACCCGCCTGCACTGGGCACAGTCTGCCATACAGAGGCCCAACAATAGCACAGAACTGGGCGAGAAGGGCCACCGGACGCGCTGCAGAGGGGCAGCGCAGGAAGACAGCCTTCCGTGCATACACCGCTGCCGGAGGGGTCAAACTGTCTCTGACATGCGCCCGGGGAGGGTTTTACAAACATGCCTTCAGCAAACAGCCAGCACACTGACTGCTAACGGCATGCATGTTTATAAAAGTAGGTCTTACGGTCAGCTCTTAGCTGGGCCGAAGGGAGGGCAGTTCACATCCCCCATATCGCCCCTCTAAACTGGAACTGATGATGTGCTTTTCTTGGAGCAGACTGATTTTCCTAATTATGCCTTCCTTAAGTTAATATGAACACTAATTTGTATTCCTTAAGTACTCAGCAGAGGAGTGGGGGTGGAGGAGGTGACCCAGGCTTATGCTGGCTTGCTGAGAGAAATGGTATAAGGATTTAAAATGTGTCACGAGTAATCTGCAGGACCGATAAATCTGTGCGTGGCAACTAAGAATTAACTATATTTATATTTATAAAACCGACAGGCCACTTCTGTCTCATCGGGTTGCTATGAGGATAAGTAACATTAAATTTACATGATTTAAGTTCTTG